TCCCCAATTTAAAGACAGGGAAGTTGAAGCTCAGCGAGGTTATGACCAGCGAGGAGTGCCACATGTGACCCACTAGGTCCTCAAGTGCAGCCCTTTGACAGAATCTAAACTTCACAGAATAAATCCCCTTGATAAAAGGATTTGCTCTGTGAAACTTAGACTCAGTCAAAAGGCCACACCCAAGGACCTAGAAGGCCACATGTGGCTTGCCCTCGGGCAACTCTTGAAGCTGTGTTGCAAAAAGGCCTGATTATTGGTAGAGGGGGTTTCTTCACATCAGTGAAATAGCAGTTGGTCCAAACAACAACAAAGAAAGTGATGTGGTTAATAAGAGTCAGAGTTGGGATTAGAATCCAAATTTTCTGATTTCTTGTCTGATACTGTTTTCATTGTATTATGTTGTCTTCTATAGTAGGTGCTCAAAACCTATTTGTTTTCATTTATATCCATATAGCGGTTACAACTTGCACATTTATTATCTCATTTTATCCTCCTGACAACTCTGTGGTGTTGTATGTAAGCAGATAACATAGCCTGTAGCTCATAGAACCGTAGAGTTTGTAGATGGAAGAAACCTGGTTTAGTGTACACAAGCACTCAGTAAAGGCTTTGAAAGTAAATTGATTCATTAAGCACACCATTAGATAATAAACAGATGAATACAACTAGAAGCTAGTGCTATAATTGGATATTAGTCATTTCCAAGAGTTTGTTTGTAACCTATGGTACCATGAAAATTCTTTACAATGCTGTTTTAATACAAATAGCATTTTAAAACTTTTTTGTAAAGCGTTTTCTCTGAACAGCATTTCATGAAGTAGGTAGTGTGAATATATTTTCAGCTGGTGGGGGCTATCATATTGCACTGAGGAGGTCAGGTACGATGCTTAGCTTTTGACAAAATGGGTGGGTTTGTAGCAGTGAAAGCATTTTTCACTTCAGCATGGAAAGCACAGTGCATGGACTTATGAATCTTTGATTTTATTTATATTCAGTCATACCCACAAGGATACATACCCACAGGCTGCTGATCCTGTCTAGGATGAAACATGGCTACCTCTGGCTCTCCTTCCAGCCCTCCAATTCATGTTTGTTTCGGTGCTCAAGGGGTGAAGTGAAGGGGCAGTTATCTTAGAGACTCACATCACCTAATGCTGATACAAATTATGAAACACTTATAGCTATAGTGTCAGGCTGGATATCTGTGGATTTTTACCTGAGGAGGTCCCCTGCTTCTCATATCTTATCTTCATTCTCTCACTCAAAGTCTTGCCTTGAAGTCTTTGGTCATGATAGTTGAAGGGGTGAAAAGGGGGCTGACACAGCCAGTGGTAAGCCTTCCAAGTTTTTATTAACACAGCATATTTATGGCGGCATTACTCACTTACATGGCCTTGCAAGGGTCCATTTTATTAGGTGTATACAGAGAGAGTATGAAATGGTAGGGACTTTGTACAGTGTGATTCTCTTTAAAAAATCAGGAATATAACAAGCCAGCAGAAGTGTTACAATATATGTGTATGTAATTTTAATCAGTAGATATTTATTACATGTCTGCTTTGTACCTGACACTGTGTTGTGTGCTGCAAATACAAAGACAAAAATAATTCCTGCCTTCTAGGAGCTTATATTCTAATGAGGAAGCCAACGTGTAATACATACATGCATATATACATACATACATATAAATTCACACAAAATAAATATAAGATAACTAGGAAGGGAGGTTTTTAAACAGGTGGGCTCAGGAAATGAGGCTTTATATAGAAAATGGTACCCAAGCTGAATTTCTAAGTAAAGGATTCCATAAGGGATAGATGGGAGAGAGTGCATTTTAAGCATGAGGGATGGTCAGTATAAAGGTATGGAGATGGGGGATGGAGCATCATGTTGGAGGATCATCAAGTAGGCCAATATGACTGGACCACAGAGTAAAAGAAGGGGAGTTATGTGTAATGAGGCTGCAAAACGCAGGTTGGAGCCAGATTGTGAAGGGCATCAAAAGTAAAACAAAAGAATTTGTATTTTATCCTAGAGGCAGTAGAGAGCTCCTGAAGTTGATTAAGTAGGATATTGACATGGTTATATCTGTACTTTAGGAAAGTCAGTGTCAACTCTATGGAGGTTGAATTGGAATGGGGAGAGACTTGAGGCAGAGACATAAATTAGGAGACCATTGCAGTGGCTCGGATGAGAGGTGAGAAGGGCCCTGAACTAAGTTGGTGGCTGTGTGAATGAGGGAGGTGGATACAAAATATGTTGTAGAAATAGCAAGATTTGGGGCAGCTAGGTGGCATAGTGGATAGAGCACTAGCCCTGAAGTCAAGAGGACCTGAGTTCAAATCCAGGCTCAGACACATAACACTTACTAGCTGTGTGACTCTGGGCAAGTCACTTAACCACAATTGCCTCACTCAAAAAACAAAACAAAACAAAAAAAATAATTGCAAGATTTAGCAGCTGATTAAATTTGTTGGACAAGGGGGTGTGAGAAGTTGAGGGTAACACCAAATAGTGAACCTGGGTAGCTGGAAGGATGTTGATGCCCCAGCAGAAACAGGGAGACTTGGAAGGGGTTTGGGTTTGGAGAGAAAGATTAATTAGTTCTTATTTTTAAAAGTATTGAGTTCGAGATGTTTATGGGACATCCATTTTGAAATGCCTAGTAAGTTATGTAGGACTGGAACTTAGGAGAGAGTCTAAAGCTGAATATACAGCTTTGAGAGTAACAGGCAAGACAGGTGAAAATTAAATCCATGTTTCATTATGTGATTGACAAGACAGATTAAAGAGGGACCAGAAGAGAGTCTTGGTGTATACCCATAGTTACGGGACAGAATGTGGAAGATGAGCCAACCAAGAGCCTGAGAAGAAGCAGTCAGACAAGTGAGAAGAATACCAGTAGAAAGAAGAACCAACAGACCCCAGAAAGGAGAGAGTATTTAGGAGAGAATGATCACTGTCAAATGTTGTAGGGAGATCAAGAGGATAACTATTGAGAAAAGACTCTCAGATTTGGCAAGTAAGAGGTCACTGGGAAAGACTTCAGAACTTTGATCAATATGGTGATCACTCATGACTTCAGAAGATTGTTGATGATGAAACAATCATTGCACCTCTTTCTTGGCGAAAGGGTGATGGACTGGAAGTATTTTCAGACATAGCCAATATGTTTGTTTTGCTAGGCTGTAATTATTTGTTACAAGGGAGAGCTTTCTGTTTGGGAGAAGGAAGAGTTCATGAGTAGTATTAGAGATGGGAAAAAAGGATGAAAAGAAAGAAAATATCAATGACACATTAAAAATACATGGGATAGAACAGAAAGAAGTTCATAAGGAGACACAGAAAAGCAAAGCAATTTTGTTACTACCAGGTTAAATTTAATAATATGCTTAAAAACACAGACTTTATATTAGAATTTCACAATTTCACATACAGTACTCTTTTCTGTTCCTTTTGTATTGAACCATCTGTGTTCAATTCATAATGAAAAAAAAATAATTTTTAAAAGAACAGTCACTGATAATTTTGTAGTAGAAGTCCTTAGAGATTCTGCTTTAATAAAGATGGTTTATAGATTCACAGTATGTTGCAGGTGGGAATATGGGGAAATTTATGACCAGTAAAGGAAGTGATTTGCTTAGTGTCTTACTCCTAGGTCCTTTCTTGATTGAGGCTTTCTAGAGTTAAAAGTAACATAAACTCTAGCTTTCCAAAGAAATATAGGCTTCATATTTAGAAAGATACATCCCTCTGTCCTTTCAGCCTTATGACACTTACAGGAATTGCTCTTCCCCAAGGCCCTTCCACCAAATGTCACTCAAACATCGGTATCGTCTCTGTTGTTGCTTATCCTTATTATAATATAATTGACATAGTTATTCATATGCCTAGTCCAGATGCATGTGAGGAAAATTCTCTGTCATCTTCTGAATGGCCAGGATGGTAGTGCTTGTGAATCAGTGACTTGGTTAATTTTCTGGTAACCTTGACCTTTACTCTGTAGATTTGGCATTTCTAGGGTCTCCTGGAGGTTGGCCCTTCTCTTGATTATGTCCAGGGAATCTGACCAAGTAACCACTCCAAGGACCTGTCTGCTTGTATTTCTTGAGATAAAATGCTTTAAAAATTAGTGAGTCTAGACATTTCTAAAACTAAGTAAGCTAAGACTAAAAAAGAAGTGGTTACTGCCCAAGCCCCTTTTCCCTTCTCTCAACCCTCTACCCTAGTCCTGTCTGAACTACCCAGTACATATTATATCTGAGATCCAGATTACAGTGGTGAATTTTTCACCTTTTAAAAATAAGAAATTTGGTATGACATTAAAACAGTTTAACACAGCTGACATTAAATGTAATTTAAATTAAATTTTGAAAGGTAATTCTTAACTGTTGTTATAACTCAACTTGAGTTATAGCTTAGAATCAGATCCCTTCTAAGACTGATACATTGCCTGGGGGCTTCATGACAGCTTGATATCTAAAGTCACGTAAGTTCTATGTCAGGCTAGTTGGAAGTAATCCCATATAACTTTCAGTTATAGCAGGGCATCTCTCCTCTTTCTTTCCTTTATTTTAATCAGCAAAAGGAAAAATAAAAATTCCCTATTGCCAAAAGTATTCTGTCCTTACATTATTGTAGAATCATAGAATATCAGAGCTAGAGGCAACTTCAAGATCATTTAGTTCAAACTCCTCATTTTATAGAGGAGGAAATTGAGGCTTAAAGTGATTAACTGCAGTGTCCTGCAGCTGAAGGAGGCTAGCACTGATGTCTGCCATCTGTGTAGGCTTGATGTAGCCCTCTGGGAATCTGTGTTAAAAGGAAGGGGTGGTTTGGACAAGATTTCTTTGAAGTCCTCTTCCAGCTGGAAACCTGTGAACCAACTTGCCCCAAATCTAAATGTACTAATAGAGATGGGGTGTGGTCCCAGTTCCTATCAGCCCAAATGTTTCTACTACATCAAGGTTACACACCTGGTTAGGCAAGGTCAAGATCATAATAGCACACATTTTCACTTATATAACAGCTTAAGCTTTATGTTGTATATCTGTCCACTCATCCCTCTCCCCCCACTCAGGCACAGACACACACGCACACACATACATGCATGTGCACGCATCATGTTACATAAATACTTTCCTCATGATAAACTAGTAAGTTCCAAGGCTAGGAGTAAGACTCAGGTATTCCAGTCCTAACTTCCTTACAGGGGTGCTAAAAATCAGACAAGGTAATGAATGTGGGAAAGTGCTTTCAACAGTAAAACCAAATATAAGGTAATATTCTCATCATGATTTCAAAAACATTGCTTTCTTAGCATGGGGGGGGGGGGGTTGTTACTGAAGCAGCATGTTTTCCTAGGATGTTAGACCGAAAAAAAAAAATTAATCTAGAGAGGTCAGTTTGTTTTGACAGTATTAATGCTTTTATGCCTTTATCTTTACTTAGCTGGCTCCTGGGCCCTCTTTCTTTCACCTTAGAGGCTTTTCTTTTTTCTCTTGCTAGGTATCTTGGATACAGCTATAGTTGATCGAGGAAGAAATGTGATTTCCAGTTCTCGAGATGGGACTGCTCGGCTTTGGGATTGTGGGCGATCAGCCTGCCTGGGCATCATTGCAGATTGTGGCTCTCCTGTGAATGGCATTGCTGTGGGTGCAGCTGACAACACAATAAATCTTGGCTCCCCTGTGAAAGTTCCCAGTAAGTATATATGGTTGGCATCCATTCTGGTTCTGAAAAGTAGGTGTCATTCTGACTCGCTAAGGCTGCCTCTCATTATGGTATAGATAAGTGGCGCAGTGGCCAGAGTGCTGCACTTAGAGTCAGGAAGACGAGTTCAAATTCAGCCCCACACACTTACTTAGCTGTGTGACCTTGGACAAGTCACTTAACCACTTTTGCTCCAGTTTCCTCAACTGTAAAATGAGAAAAATAACAACCGCGCCTCACAAGGTTGTTGTGAGGATCAAATGAGAATACTTGAAACTGCTTAGCACAGTGCCTGGCATGTAGTAGGCTCTATGTAAATGATGTTGTTGTTATTATTTCTCACCGTAGTCTCTGAGGTACTTTTTCTAATCCCTGTTCAGTTCAGTTTTTATTATTCAATTTCAGTTTTCTATCTGCCTCGAAGCCAGTAAGTCTGTTTTCAGCAGTCATTTAAGTATTGCAGTATCTATGCTGTGCTTCACACTCAGTGGGAGAGATAAAAGAAGGGCAACATTTATTTGTCCTTATTTGTAGAGACCACACAGTCTAGTTGTATGGGTAAGATGAACACCCTGGTGATAAAGAACACTGAAGAGCTAAACTGAACAGTGCTTACTGTACAATAGAATGATAGCTAATAGGAATTTGAAAAAGGAAAACATTGTGGGTTGGAGTAGTTACTTCACAACATAGGTAAATGAATGAAATGTTTTATTTTCTGTATTATAACTAATAAGTAAGCAGAGTTCATTCAATTTATAGCACACTATGCAAATCCTTTTTGCTGTCATCTACAGATCTTCAAATCACTACCCTTTCTTTCTCAAGGAGTTTAATACTTAGAACATAGTCTTCTTCACTCCATCCCATGCCCTCACCCTTTAGCATTTATGTTGATGTCCTTCTGGCCTCCCAGTTTATCAGCCTTCCCAGCTGCCACGACCTCCACTTCCGTTCTACCTGAGCCATCCACGGGATGGACTTCATAGACCCTCGAACCTATATCACCTTAGTGATGTGCTGGGGTGCTGCATAGTTTAGCATTTACTTGTTTTCATATAATTTCCTGTGTGTTCATTTTACCTTTCCAGCTAGATCATGTGTTCCTTAAGATCAGGGACCAGTTTCATCTTTCTTTTCTCTTCATAGTAAGACATTTAGTACTTGTTGATTGGTGAATGCTTAAACACGAGATGATAAAGTTAAGATTTAAAAAGATCTTGGCAGACTGGAAAACTAGGCTGAATCTAAGAAGATGAAATTTTATAAGGATAAATGTAAAGTCTATTTGGGCTCAAAAAATTAATTTTATAAGTACATGATAGGGGTTAGGCAGCAGTTTGTCTGAAAAAGATGTAGGGGTTTTGGTTTACTATAAGCTCTTTATGAGTCAACGATGTGTTAAAAGCAACCAAAAACGCTAATGCCACTTTGGTCTACAGTGACATACACAACTCTCAAGAGTAAGGAAGTGAGAGGCCGCTAGGTGGCACAGTGGATGGCAGCCTTGGATTCAGGAGGACCTGAGTTCAAATGCGACCTGAGACACATAACACTTACTAGCTGTGTGACCCTGGGCAAGTCACTTAACCCCATTGCCTAACCCCTCCCCCCAAAAAAGAATAAGGAAGTGACTCCAAAACACTATTGATTAGAAAAAGGCAAATTAAAACAACTCTGAGGTACCAACTCTCACTTAGCAGAGATGACAAATCCTGGAGAGGATGAGGGAAAATAGATGTAATGATGAACTATTAGTAGAGTTGTGAACTGATCCAACCATTCTGGAGAGCAATTTGGAACTGTGCCCAAGGGGTTATAACACTATGCATACCCTTTGACCCAGCAATACCATTACTAGGTCTGTACCTCAAAAAGATCAAAGGAAAAGGAAAAGCACCTATATGTACAAATATATTTATAACAACTCTTTTTGTGGTGGCAAAGAATTGGAAACTAAGGGAATACTCATCACTTGGAGAACAGCTGAACAAGTTATGGCATATGATTGTTGATGGAGTACTATGGTGCTATAGGAAATGACAAGGGAGATAGTTTCAGAAAAACACAGTAAGACCTATAAGAACTGATACAAAGTGAAGTGAGCAGAACTGGGAGATCATTGTGCACAATTACAGCAATGTTGTAATGACGATCAATTGTGAAAGACTTGGTTGCTCTGATCAATACAGCAGTCCAAGACAATTCCAAAGGATTCATGATGAAAAATGCTGTCCACCTCCAGAGAGAGCACTGATGATCTCTGACTACAAACTGAAGTATAATTTGTCACGCTTTATTTTTCTTCCTTTATTTTTTTTGACAGTATGGCTAATATGGAAATATGTTTTGTGTGATTTCACATGTATAATTAAGATCATATTGCTTGCCTTCTCAGTGGGTATTGTATGGAGTGGAAGGGAGGGAGAGATTTTGGAACTCAAAATTTTAAAAAAAGAATGTTTAAAATAATAAATTAAAATTTTTTTTTAATTAATGAAACCTGAAAGGGTAAATAACACAATTCCCTTCTGCTGAAATTATATCTGAGTACGTTCAAAAATTATTAATAAACTTTGACATGTTTTTCAGAAAAAAAAAAGAATAAGGAAGTGGTGGCCCCATTGGTCAGGCCATACCTGTAGTATTGTGTTTAATTCTGGGTACCAGATTTAGCTAGGATATCCATAATAGGGAGGTTGTCTGCAGAAAGGCAGCTTGAATGGTGAAGGTCCATGACATTTGAAGATTCATTTTTTGTTTTTGTTTTTGCTAGGCAGTGGGGTTAAGTGACTTGCTGAGGGTCACCCAGCTAGTAAGTGTCAAATATCTGAAGCTGTATTTGAACTTAGGTCCTCCTGTCTCCGGGCCCAGTGCTCCACTGCGCCACCTAGCGGCCCCAGTTTAAAGATTGATTGAAGAAAATGGGGATGTTTAGACTGGAGAAAGGAGGACTTAGGGAGTGATAGCTGTCTTCAAGTTTGAGATACGGTTATATAGAAAAGGGATTAGACTTTTTCTGAGTGGCCTTATAAGGAAAGAACCAGGAGCAGTGGGTGGAGATTGAGATGAGTTTACATCAGGAAAAGCTTCCTAACATTGACAGCTCTCCAGCAATGCCAGCAATTCACGTTGCTTCATGAAGTAGTTAGTTAGTTATCATTGGAGGTCTTCAAGCAGAGGCAGAGTGATCTCTTGTATCTGTTGTAATGGGAATTCTTTTTCAGATATGAATTGGACTAGGTGGCTACTAAGGACCCCTTCCAGTACTAAAATGTTTATTACCTGGAGATCCAATATAAATTCTGTTTGACACTTAAAAGCTCTTTACAACCTGGCCCTTTCCATTCCTTACAGTTTTATACAGTCTCTGTCCTCGACTCACTCTAGGTCCAACCAGAGTGTCCAGACGTGGTGCTCCTCACATGTGATGCTCCGTCTGCCTTTATACTGACTGCCCCCCATACCTGGAAAGCTCTCCCTCCTCACCTGTGCCTCTTGGAATTCCTGGTTTCCTTCAAGGCACAGCTCATATGCCATGTCCTGAATGAAACTTTTCCTGATCCTTCAAGCTTCCCTTTCCAAACTACCTAGTATTTATGTTACATATGTTCTGCACATACTTATATTTATACTTACTGTTTTCCCCATTAGAATGTAAGCTCCTTGAGACCAAGTTTCACCTTGTCTTTGTATCCCCAGTTCTTAATGTAATGCCTAGCACATACTGTGCTCTTCATAATTGCTTATTGATTGCCTGTCTTTCCTCAATACCTATTTCCTCCTTACCCTTTGCAGTATGACTTCTAATCCACTCATTTACTGAAATTACTTTCTCAAGGGTTGCTAATGATCTGTTCTCTCTCTGGTCAAACTCCATTATTTTAATTTTGTTTTTTATAATACTGCCATTTCTAGATTAACCCTTACCCACTTCTTCCGCTCAGAATATTCCCTTGTGACAAAGAAAAACAGTTATGTAAACGAATACAGTCACCTCATCTGACATGATATGCAACATTCCATACCCACAGTCCTTCACCTCTGTTGGAAGGGGAGGGTGTAATGTTTCATTGTTTGTCCTCCCAAGACCAAGATTGGTCATTACTGTTACTCAAAGTTTGGACTCCTTTTAGTGTTCTTTTTGTTTATATCATTACAGTCATTGTGTATATATTGCTCTCTGTTGTTCTCCTTACTTCTCTATATTAGTTCATATAAATCTTCCCATAGTCTTCTGAATTCTTCATATTTTAAATTTCTTATTCTTTTATATTCATATGCCATAGTTTGTCCAACCATTCCTGAGTCAGGGAACCCACTTTGTTTACAGTTTTTTGCCACCACTAAAAGTAATATTATAAAGCTTTGGGGGCCAATAATCTCTTAATTACTAAAGCTAATAATCTTAATTACTAAAAGAGGTCCAAATCCTTTTTCACATTTGTGTTACTTTTGGCATTTGATTTGTCCTTCCTCTTGGATATCCTTTCCTCCTTTCATTTCTACTCTCTCCTGGTTTTCTTATAACCATAGATTTAGAGTGTATGTAGTCCAACTTTCTAATTTTACAGAAGAGGAAACTGAGGCCCATTTCCATGAAGTGTTTTCCCTATTTTCACACAAGTAGTTTCTGAGGTTGATTTTGAATGTAGGTCCTCTGACTCTGAAGCCAGTACTTTTTTTTTTTTTTAAGGCAGTTGGGGTTAAGTGACTTGTCCAGGGTTACACAGCTAGTAAGTGTCAAGTGTTTGGTCTGAGGTCAGATTTGAACTCAGGTCCCCCAGACTTCAGGGCCAGTGCTCTACTCACTGCACCACCTAGCTGCCCCAGTACTTTTTCTTTTTAAAAATAGTTCCTTGGAGCAGCTAGATGGCATAGTGGATAGAGCATTGGCCCTGGATTCAAGAAGACCTGAGTTCAAATCTGCCTCAGACAGTTCACGCTTACTAGCTATGTGATCCTGGGCAAGTCACTTTACCTCACTGCCT